GTTCGCGGCGATATGTAACATGTGCGGCGACATGGGCGCAATCGTCTTTTTTGCACGTATGCGCCCCCGACGCATGTTTGCATGCGTGTATGTATGGGTGGGGGACTTTAATTTTTTTTAAATTCTTTTTTATGTGTAACTTTAAATTTGGGGGGGGAACTTTTTTTCCCCACTAAACCTTATTGCTATCACATACGGGGGCTAATAAAACCCCCTATCTGATAGCAAAATATGTGACAGGTCCTCTTTATGGAGACATCAGGGGTCTCCAAGACCCCTAATGTCACCTAGGACCCCCCAAAAGAAGCTGATGAAGCACAGATCTGCTCCATCAGCTTCTTTCCAGCTTCTGAAGCTTGAGAGTGACACAAGAATGCGGAAGTGATGTATTGTACAACACTTCCGCATTCTTGCAGAGGAGAGGGGACCGGAGGGAGCTCGTGTACCGAGCTCTCTCTGATCCCCTGTGACACAGGCGCCATACTGATCCCGAGCTCGCACCGGGCACAGCAGAGCCCGGGATCAGCGGGACACCGGGGGGGGGGCACCGATAGGCACTCCATACACACGATCCGCCGGCTCTACAGCCGGCGGATCGCTTGTATGGTAACAGGCATCGCTGCCTGTTTTTAAATATCGGCTATTTCCTGCTCGAGCGCACCGAGCGGCGCGCGAGGGGGGCGTGTCTGAGCGGACGTCTAAAGACGCCTGCTCAGATCTAGAGAGCTCCCGGCCGGCCGTTTTTTTTACTACGGCCGGCCCGGAGGTAGTTAAATGGTTATTAAACCCTCATGTTTTTTTGCATATATCTACTGCTAGCAAGCAAAAACTTTAAAAAACAAAACAAAAAAAAAACCTTTTCAAACCGGTTTAAACCTACCTGTGTCTTTGCCGCGCGCTCTCGTCCGAACATCTGAAGAGTCTAGAGCGGCCGCAAAGGATCTTGGGGCGGGCGCATGCGCAGTAGAGATCTTCGGCCGGGAAAAGAGAGAGACACAGCATAAGTCAATAATGGCAAACGGCAGCGTGCACGTGAACAGTAACCGAGACCTGAGGAGTCTGAGCTGGATCAGAGACTGGCACCACTGCTGGAGGGACTCCTGAAAACTAGTGGAAAGAAGATGATCAGATCAAGAGGCATCATTTAATGTAAGTCCTTAAAGCAGCATTGGGGGAGGAATTGTGACTTCAGTGTCACTTTAAGCTGCTTTTTTTTTTTTGTCGTCAGTATTAAATGATTTTTTGGGTCAAGTAGCTAGGCAGAAGGAATTCACACACACACACACACACATACCAAATATTCAGATACACGTGCACTGTGCACTTTCAGTGAGTTTTAGTACCAGTTGCATAGTAATAGACACAGAAGCGGCAGCTACTATTGTCTTGCCTGTGGCCCCAGGGGGACACAAGTTTGACTGAGATCCAAGAATGCTTAGCTCTTTCCACGTCATTGCATTTTCAGTAGGTGGCAGGTGATTTTGCATACGTGTTTGTTGACTTGTCTGAGGCTTTTGTGTAAGGTGGATGTTAATAGTAAATGGGAGATGCTGCAGGACCTTATTTCATATTGAGACTGAGAGGAGTTAGAGTCCATCTAAAGCAGCCTTTCTCAACCTTTTTTACCATTGAGGAACTCTTGAAATAGTTTTCAGATCTCAGGAAAACCCCACTAAAATGATTAGACCCACAGCCAATGGTAGATTAACATAATTAGCAGGTTATATAGAGTTTCAAATAAAAGAATACAGATTAGGGTTTACTTAATAACCATGACATTAAACAAATAATGATATTGAGCAAAAACAAAAAACACAGGCATTGAACACATGGGTGGTGAGTGTAGAAGTGACCCCTTATATTGGTGGTGAGTGTAGAAGTGACCCCTTATGTTGGTGGTGAGTGTAGAAGTGACCCCTTATGTTATTATTATTATTATACAGGATTTATATAGCTGGTGGTGAGTGTAGAAGTGACCCCTTATGTTGGTGGTGAGTGTAGAAGTGACCCCTTACATTGGTGGTGAGTGTAGAAGTGACCCCTTACATTGGTGGTGAGTGTAGAAGTGACCCCTTACATTGGTGGTGAGTGTAGAAGTGACCCCTTACATTGGTGGTGAGTGTAGAAGTGACCCCTTACATTGGTGGTGAGTGTAGAAGTGACCCCTTACATTGGTGGTGAGTGTAGAAGTGACCCCTTACATTGGTGGTGAGTGTAGAAGTGACCCCTTACATTGGTGGTGAGTGTAGAAGTGACCCCTTACATTGGTGGTGAGTGTAGAAGTGACCCCTTACATTGGTGGTGAGTGTAGAAGTGACCCTTTTTTTTTTGGCAAGCTCTTGAAGTTCACTATGTGGCTGTTGTATGCTTGTCTAATATAAGCTACTGCCAGGAAAAGGTTTGGCTAAGCAGCACTGCTGAACAAACTACATCTTCTATTGGCAGTTCTACCTATCAGTGAGCAGGGGGCTGGAGCTACAGTAGGCGTGGCCAATTGCTAAATGACAAGCTATAGGCTTCACAATCACTGCAAACAACACTTCTAGCCATGCCCACGTCAGGCACCATTACTGTAAAGGTGACAACACAGTGGGGAATTCACTAGAACAGGCTGAGTGTTGTCACCCTAATGCAGGAAGTGGAAACCTAGCAGTTCTACAGGCAGATCAGCCGCTATTTATATAGCAGAGGAGGGGTTTATGGAATACAGAAGTGACAGTCTTCCTATGCTGGAGGCGCTGAATAACATATGCAGTTTTATCATTTGACTGTAGTTCTAATATATGCCAAATGACGCCTCCCCACAATCCTTATTCATAACTCTCAATAATATTAATAATATAATAATATATTTTTTTTTTTCAGATTGAACAAGAAGTCACACTGGAGCAGTTGCACAAACTGAGGAAAGCCTTTGAGGTATGCACCTTTGATAATATGGCTTCTCAGCAGTGACATACAGGACCCTCATAGGCACAGGTACCCTTATAATCTCATTGCAGCTACCTGCTGCAAAACTTCACAATAACAGCAACAGAACAGCCGTATCAGTTCTTGTTTCTGAATAGAAACATGTTCAATAAATGCAATAAGTAAGGTAAACGGATCGATGGCTAGTGCTGCCCTAAAGAGCACCTGAACTGAGCTCAGAAAAGGCAAGCAGAGGACAAGGTGCAAAGCAATATTGCTTGTGGTCTCCCTAGAGCAGATCTTTTCCCCATTACTGACTTACCATGCCTTGTTCTGCATTCTGTGTGCAGGTGGCCATCTTGGCAGAGGCAGGACTTTGCTACCACATTTTAGAGCTGCCTCTCCTGATTACTGGTGATTCAATGACTGGTATGGTAATGATCAATAATCAAGAACTAGCAGGAGAGGTGGAGGAAGCACAAAGACTAATTAAGGCAAATGCAAGGAGATGAAAAGAGGGGTGGTCCTCCAGGGAAGAGATCGCTGGAAGAAGTGGTTACTACACAGACGGAGACTGATTTTAAGTAAAAATATATAAACTTTATTGATATACAAAATTTCCGATACCATCAGTGTACTTGTTCAAACTCCTCTTACAACGTTGTACATAACACTCAATCATTCACTCATTCATGCCATGGGCCCCACTCATTCTACGGCAGTAACTGCTTCCCTGCGTTTCCAAAGGGTGATAATTCAATTGAGGGAAAACACCTTTTCTTAATCACGATTCAGTCCTGAGCTTGCAGTTTGATGTTCACTGGGTAACTTGAAAGCGATTCGATGTTCCTAGTAAGGTAATGGTTGTCGTTGATACAGAGTATCTGTTTAGTCATTCATGAAAAGAAGTTCTTTCAAAAAGTACAGTAATACCTTGGTTTACAAGTAACTTGGTTTGAGAGCGTTTTGCAAGACAAGCAAACATTTCTGAAAAATGTTGCCTTGATATACAAGCAATTGTCTTGGAATAAGAGCAAAATTTTGTAGAAAAGCGCCACCGAATAATGCTGTAGCAGTGTGAGCGATGAGTCTGTTTAACAACAATGCAATGTCACATTGAATAGATTCCTTGTTAAGGTTTCACGAAATGAAAAATATTCCATTGAGTCAAGAGATAGCAGTGATTTCGTTAGTGACAGTGAAAGTCGTCCTACACAATAATCCTCCTCTCTCTTGTCCCCCTCACACCAGCCACGAAGGTACCGGTAATTGGTTTATTTTTCTTTATATTTTATACAGTATTATATTACAGTACAGTATTGTAATCATTGTTATATGAATATTTTTGGGTTGTGGAACGAATCATCTGAATTTCCATTATTTCCTATGGGGAAATTCGCTTTGATATACAAGCGCTTTGGATTACAAGCATGCTTCCGGAACGAATTATGCTCTTAAACCAAGGTATTACTGTGTAGCCAATGAATAAATGGATTCAATTGCTTCCAAGGGATGAATATGCTCAAATTATGAGCTGTATTTCTATTCAAATCAACCGGAGCAATGGATTTGTTGCAAGCCCGGGGATGTAAACCCTCTAAAAACACCACTTCTATCCTGACCTCATATTTAGCTTGATATCAATTGCTTAAGGGGGGGACATGTACAATATTCCTCCGACATCTTTGCTTTATCAGCCGTACTCACGATTGAGTGTCTCAACCCCGATATTTCGCCGTGTTGTCAAAGTCTTGTTGTTCCTTTGGTTGCAGTGAATGGCAGTTTCAGGATGCTCAAGCAGAGGTAATGTGGTGTTCAGTGATTGCAAGGGGGTTGCCTTCTCATCACCGTTGTTCAATGAAAATTCTTTGAGGGAGCTGCCGTGTGTGTGGGTCACACCTGAAGCACGTCAAGCATACTGCTGCCGACGCGTTTCGCCCCGCCCACCAGGGCTGCGGCAGAGCCTGGTGAAACACGTCGGACGCAGTATGCATGATTAAATGATAAAGTGAACACAGCTTCACCTTATTCACTAAGTTAAGTGAACATGAACTTTTCAAAGTGAACATGCTCTATTCTTTTAGTAGTCAATCCCTAATATCTTGACCTAAAATAGCTAACATTTCTGTCAGGGACCTGAGCGCCTCTGGGTGGCACTGTGACGCTGGAACCAGGCCCTGCAGTTCCAGTGCTCACCTGCGGGTGTCCCAGCAATTAGCAGTTAGTTGCCACTAGTCATGGGCTCGGGCGTGTTCGCAAGCGCCTCGTGCCGAGCCCGCCGGGAAGCTGTCAGCGCTCAGGGCCAATCACAGGCACTGAGACATTTCCCGGTCCGCATCTGTAGAGATCGGGAAATGTCTCAGTGCCTGTGATTGGCCCTGCGAGCTGACAGCTTCCTGGCAGGCTCGGCACGAGGCGCTTGCGAAGCCCATCACTAGTTGTCAGCTGGTGCTGATCTTGGAGGGTATTTAAATGGTTATTAAACCCTCATGTTTTTTTTGCATATACTGTATCTACTGCTTGCGAGCAAAAACTTTAAAAAACAAAACAAACAAAAAAACCTTTTCAAACCGGTTTAAACCTACCTGTGTCTTCGCTGCGCGCTCCCGTCCGAACATCTGAAGAGTCTCGAGCGGCCGCAAAGGATCTTGGGGCGGGCGCATGCGCAGTTCAGATGTCCGGCCGGGAGGTGAGGAGAGACACAAGGTAAGTCTATGGAGCAGCGGGCACCCGCACAGGCACCACGGGACAGCAAGAGAAGAGAAGGACAGAGTCAGTACTGGATCGGAGACCGGCACCGCTGCTGGAGGGACAGCTGAAAAGGACAATAAAGAAGAAGATGATCGGATTAAGAAACATAATTTAAGGTAAGTCCTTACATTAGCAATGTGGGGGGAGGGGGAGGCACGTTTGACTTTAATGTCACTTTAACTGCAGTGAGGCCTTCAGTATTGTTGCCATAGCCTGTATCCTGTTGCCTGTATCCTGTTCCTGTTGCCTGTATCCTGTTCCTGCCTTGTACCCTGACTTGGACCTGACTCCTGACCCTTACCCCTGAGGTCTCTTGATCAGTAGCTCCCCCCTTGTTGTCCTGCTCCCCAGGGTTTGCCCTGTTGTCTCTGGGGTGTAATTGCTACTTGTATTTTTATATGTTACTTGTGGGTGTTGGTGGGGGTGCTTATGGTGCTGGTGTTTTTAAACTACAGTTCATAAGCATTATTTGGTGTGGTCACATATTTGGTTCTCCTGTATAGATGGGTGGACACCCGTGCACGGTATCTTGACAATCTCTTTTCATATGATGTGGCAGAACTACATAGTTTGTGTGCACAGCAGGCAATCCACAATGTGTTGTTGTAACTGTAAGATGCAGCGCAGAATGCACCCTTAGTATAGGACCCATAAATCGGTCTTAGGCAAACCGCAAAATCTAACTAGTTTAGTCCACATACTCTATAGATGCTCTACAGCATCTCTTAGGGCAGTGGTTCTCAACCCGGGGCTCGAATGACGATTTGCCGGGGGTCGCCTAGCGGCTTCCGGCCACCCAGGAGAGAAGCACCTCAGTCAGAAAAGAAAAAAAAAACTCTCATCAAGCAAAAAGGTAAAAAGTCACCAGCACTCGATTTTTTGAAAGTAAGTATGTCCCTTTATTGGACAAAAGACGTCATAGGGGAGCCGACGTTTCGTATGTGGCTGCATAGAGGTCATATAAATGCATTTAACAAACGTGAAATTGATGCCATACTATTTCCAGCCAACCCTACCATTGCATTTGGGTCTGATTCCACCATTGATCTCCTTAGAGATCTGAAGAGGCTTAAATAGAAACATATTGATCTTGAATTGCATGGATTCACACTCTCCGAATACTTTAGAGCTAAAAAAATCCCAAGAGGGTTTCGCATACGTAATCAACCGACTATTGGCAGACAGAGTCGAGAATTTTGTGATAGATGGTGTGCTATCTCTACACAAAACTCCTTCAATTATATGTTACTCGTGATTGAGGAGATAAAAACCCAACTTTGTCAAATCAACAAAGAGATCACATTATTTGAAACCAAGATTCGTATTAAAATACCAGATGAGACTGCCTTCAATGATGAAATCAAAAAAATGGAATCCGAAATATGTCTTTACGCGGATAAAATTTGTGCTGCTAAACGGGAAAAATTTAAATTAGTATGTCAAGATTACCAGGACGGTAGAGTGTATCCCTGGCTCACCGGGAACACCTTTGCCAGAAGACAAAGGGGTGGTGCTTTCCAACGTGGAGGAGGTAGACAACGTTTTCATAAAAATAAAACTAGCTCCAGTGAGAGCGAACGACCTACAGAGAACCCCTCTACAGATAGCGATGTACCATCTACAAAGCCGTTAGACACCTCTACCATTACTGGATCTGCCTCTACTCAATTAAATTATTCCTTGATACTAAAAAAGATCTATAATCTTATATTAAGAAACCATTGTATACTATATCATTAAGATTTGAAATATTTATGGTGCTTATTTTGGTATATTAACTATTAATTTGATTTATTATCTCTACTTGTGGCCCAAATGTGCAATCATGACATTACATGCTGTTCCGTTTTAAATGTCTTTTAAATGTTCGTTCTTTATGCATATCTAATCTGTTTTAGTACGTGTCTCTATGTATGTGGTTCGTTTTTCATAAAATTGGAGTAATATTGAATGCCCTATTACATATACTCTTCCAGGGACATTGCTGTGTCTTTCTTAGGGTCATGTGCTCTACCGCCAGAGCATCCCAGGTTGCTAAGTGCTCTTAGCAACCTGTGACACTCTGGCCGGTGTCCCAACCAGCTCCAGACAACCAGTGATATCACTGGTTGCCAGGAGCTGAGTGGGATGCTCTGGCCATCATTCCGGCCAGCTCCTGGCAACCAGTGGCTTCAGTGAGCTGGGCAAGAC